CCTCTGGGCAGGGCGGGATAGAAATCGCAAAATAAAATAAAATAAAAATAAAAAATTATAATTTGTGAACAGGACCCATATTTATGTGTAATACATAGCTAATATCTAGTGTCAAATGTAATATTTCTGTGCATCTGATGAAATTAGCTCTGATTCGTGGAACCTTGTTAGTCTTTAAGATATCATTGAACTCCGGTTTTATTCTGCTACTACAGACTAATAACAGTTATCCATCCGGAATTATCCTTTTTATAAGAGCATATGAAGAGCTCTGCTGGAGCAGAGCAGTGGTCCATCTAGTCCAGCATCCTGTCTTATACAGTGGCCAACCAGTTCCCCTGCAGAGCCAATAACAGGGCATAGAGGCTGAGGCCTTCCTCTGATGTGGCCTCCTGACTCTGGGAGTCAGAGGATCAGTGCCTCTGAATGTGGAAGTTTCCCTCAGTCACCATGGCTAGTAGCCATTGATAGACATCCTCCGTGAATCTATCTAATCCCCCTTTAAAGCTATCTATTCCTGTGGCGAATCCCACATTTTAATCACTCTCTGTATCTTAGAGTCCCAGTGTGTACCTTTCTATGGCTGCCGTCACACACACTAAATAATCCCTCTTTCAATGCACCTTCAATGCACTTTCGAATTGGATTTTGCCAGTCCACACAGTAAAAATCCAGTTGGAAAGTGCATTGAAAGTGGATTATTTCGTGTGTGTGACCGCAACTATATATGTGCTTGAAACAGCAGGTTGCTTCTGGCTCTAGGAAAGCTTCAGTATGTTGCTTCTTCAAAAATCTTAGCTGCCCTAGGCTAAAATGTTCTAACCTTTTTCAGGGAGACGATCCGTGCACAATTCCTTGCTGGATTAGGCTTGGATTTTAATTTTAACTGCTTGAGAGTCATATTAGGGCAGGAGTCCCCAACCTTTTGGAGCCTGTGGGCAGTTTGGTGTAGTGGTTAAGTGTGCGGACTCTAATCTGGGAGAACCGGGTTTGATTCCCCACTCCTCCACTTGCACCTGGCTGGATGACCTTGGGCAAGCCGTAGTTCTGATAAGAGCTGTTCTTGAAAAAAAGAGGAGTTTCTGTCAAGAGCTCACTCAGCCCCACCGACCTCACAGGGTGCCTGTTGTGGGGAGGGAGAGGGAAAGGAGTTTGTAAGCTGCTCTGAGACTCCTTTGGGTAGTGAAGGGCGGGGTAGAAATCCAAGCTCTTCCTATTCTTCTTCCTTCTTTGGAATTCTGACACAAGGTGGTGGGCAAAACCACAAAAGGGCTGCTGCTGGAGGTGAAGCAATCCACAAAAGGGCTACCACAGGAGTTGGTTGCACGCACAAACACACACACACAGGAAGTCCAAGCACAGGGAGAAGAAGGATAATTTTTTAAAAAATACACTGGAAAAGTGGAGTGAAGGGGAATAAAACTGATACTGTGGTAGCAGCTGCTGCTGAAACCATGTTTTTTAAATCTGCCCAGCCCTCCTGGGCCACAACCCTCACTGCCCCCCACCCACTTTTTAAAAACACTTGGTGGACACCAGGAATGGTGTTGGTAGGCACCACAGTGCCCACGGGGTGCCCTGTATTAGAGAATCATTGCTAAAAAATCTGTGTAATAATTAGCAAACTTAACAAAAATGTCCCAAAGCAGATGCTAAGAAAAGCAGTTTAATACCAATACCTACAGTCCCCCCCCCTTCCCCTGATACTTCTGAATACCAGCAACATTCAACACATGCCCATGGACTGGCTTGGAACTCAAGACTAGCCATCTTTGTGACTGGCAGGGCAATTTGAAAAAAGGAGTCACAGACCTGTAGTTCTGACTGAGGCTGTTCCCACTTAACAGCTCCTCTCCCCTCCTCCTAGGAGATAGGTCGGGCTGGGTAGCCGTGTTAGTCTGTCTGTAAAGGTAAAGGTTCCCTTGCTCAAAAGCCAGTCGAATCCGATTCTAGGGTTGCGGTGCTCATCTCCGTTTCAAAGCCGAAGAGCCAGCGCTGTCTGAAGACGTTTCCGTGGTCATGTGGCCGGCATGACTAAACGCCAAGGCGCACGGAACGCTGTTACCTTCCCACCAAAGTGGTCCCTATTTATCTACTTGCAATTTCTTGCTTTCGAACTGCTAGGTTGGCAGGAGCTGGAACTAGAGATGGGAGCTCACTCTGTCATGCGGCACCCGGGTCTCGAACTGCTGAACTACTGACCTTCCACAGCCTGCAGTTCAGCGTCTTAACCACTTGAGCCACCGCAGCTCTGTCTGTCTGTAGCAGTAGAAAAGAGCAAGAGTCCAGAGCACCTTAAAGACTAACAAAATATATATGTGGCAGGGGATGAGCTTTTGTGACTCACAAAAGCTCCTACCCTGACACATATTTTGTTATTCTTTAAGGTGTTACTGGACTCTTGCTCTTCCCTCCCACTAGTTATTGGTACAATATTGGTTATTGGTACAATATTGGTACAATAACCAATTGGTATTGGTATCTGGCCCCGGTCACACAGGCCAAATAACGCGGGGGGGAGGCGGGGCTTTTTGCACCACCGTAATTAGAGCTGCCATAACGCGATCCCACGCATCAGCAGCACGCTACGGTTCCTTCCCTCCGCGCCTGCGCATCAACGAGGGGCCGGAGGGAAAAACCGCGGCCGGCGCAATCACACCGAGGGACTCCAGAGGCAGCCCGTGGCAAACCAGTTGCTAGTACCCCCGAGCAGGTAGTTTTTAATCGCGCATTTTCGGCGGTATGCCACAGGTTTGCCACGGGTGCGCTCCACTAACCAGATGTTGTGGTGTGATCGCACCCGGATAATACGCCTATATCTATTTGTTAATGGAGGAAAAATATGTCAAGCAAGAAGTACCAAGTATCATAGCAAGTAGTAGCGGCACTGCTATTGTCCTGGATTGTGATATCGACCATACCTTCCAGCCTTCATTCTGTACTGACTCAGAGCCTCAATTTGCCTCGGGCTACACAGGGAAGTGAGGGGAAGTTTAACCCTTCAGTCTCCTCTGTGTCTCACTGTTCAGGACAGGGTTCCCTTCTTGTTTTATTGGCATTTTAAAGGGAAATAAAGGGGTGTTTTAAAATAATATGCATTAAAAACCTGTCCAGGCTCCTAATTTCTCAAGAGCAGCATGACAGTAGCTGCCAGTTATCCTGGAAAGGAAATAAAATCTACCTTGGATAATTTTTTATCTATGAAAAATTACTATTGTCAGGGCTCTTTCTGTAGAAAAAGCCCAGCAGGAACTCATTAGCATAATAGGCCACACCCAACAGCAGGAACTCATTAGCATATTAGGCCACACCCCTGCCGTGCTCATTAGCACATTAGGCCGCACCCCCATGTCACCAGAAGTGTGGTCATCCAGCCACACCCACCTTTCGCTTCTTATTCTGTTTACCTTGTTTGTTGTCAAAACCCAGGGCTTTTTTTGTTGCAGGGACTCCTTTGCATGTTAGGCCACACCCCCCTAATGTAGCCAATCCTAATGAGTTTCTGCTGTTGGGTGTGGCCTATTATGCTAATGAGTTCCTGCTGGGCGTTCCTGTGCGTTCCTGCCTAAAAATAGCCCTGACTATTGTAAAGGCATGGATGAAGGACCAGAAAAACAAGTGGCCATCCTAAACACTGTAGAAGTTACAGATCTGAGAACCGTATGAAAAGTATTTTCAGATTTCACTTGAAAGCGGTATGCTGAGTAGAGTGAGTCATGTGGACCTTACCTCTCCAGTCCTTGCCCGTCTACACTGGCTTCTAGTTTGTTTCAGGTCCCAATTCAAGGTGCTGGTGTTGACCTTTAAAGTCCTATATGGCTTGGGGCCAGCAAACTTGAAAGACCACCTACTCCCATATGAACTTACCTGACCACTAAAGTCGTCGTCTGAGGCCTTGCTTCATATGCCCCCATCTTCTCAGCTTAGCTGGGTAGCAAGCTGAGGCATGGCCTTCTCTATCATGGCACCGCGGCTATGGAACTCTCTCCCTGGAGATGTTCATCTGACCCCTTCTGTCACTGTCTTCCGCCTGCAAATGAAGACTTTTTTTGTTTTGTCTGGCCTTCTCTCAATGATCTTTCCTCCCTCCTCTGTGTTTTAATTACTGTTTTTTCTGTGCTTTTTTACATATGTATTTGAGTTTTGGGTTTAACTGTTTTTATGATGTGCTTTCATAATGCTTTGTTTTAACCGACCTTAGTGTCTCTGACGGGGTAGAAAGCTGGGGTACAAATTTTGCAAATAAATAGAGTTACAGTTCTGTGCTTTTTGTGTGTGTGAAGCAATTGCCAACATTCAGTGTTCTGAAAGTACCTGGCATGTTTCCTTTTCATTCAATCCTTTCCTCTCAAAAACTCTACCGAATCTTTGGGGATAGTAAGACTGGACATTGATCTTTTACATCACAGCACTGACTCCTTTACTCTATTACAACTCTGCTCACTGGCCGGGGGGGGGGGAATGAAATCCCTCTTTATTACTGCTTAGCAAAGTCTGTATAAAGACATGGTCCCAAATTGCTTTAGTGTGTCAGTCATCTACGAAACCTCTGCTCTACTATCCCTAGTAAGAAACGTGATCCTTATTTTCAAAACTCAGGAAGCCAAAGCAGCTTGAGCAGCTGAAACAGTTTCCGCATAAGAACATAAGAGAAGTCATGTTGGATCAGGCCAGTGGCCCGTCTAGTTCAACACTCTGTGTCACACAGTGGCCAAAACCCAGGTACCACTGTCTGTGACTGTGAGGAGGTGAATCTTGTCTTACAGTTCATAACCTGAAAACATTTGGGGAGGACCAGTTCACACAACTCCAGCCACCGTCTTGGACGATGGGCTGCATTTTTAGAATCCCACTCCCTCCAACCCACCAACATTTTCCAATAAATACACTTCTTTTAAAAATTATTTGAGGGGGGGGGGAAATCCTCACAGAGGGGTAGCAAGTGAGTAGCCGCCCACACCGAGGGGGCCATTCGTACACAGATTTTAGAGAAGTCTCTGTTACATCACAGAACATTTCTCCTCAGCTGCCTGCTTCATTTCTGTGAAAGTCGCCTGGGCCTTTTCTTTGAGGGTGTCTAAGTCCATGTTCTGAATGTTCTGGAGCTGCCCCAGAATAGAATCCTTTTCTTCTTCTTCTCCTTGATCTTCGTCCACCATTTTCTGAAGGTCTTCTGGCAAGTCAACGTCATCGCCGCCCATCTGGATCTGAGTTTCATCCATTTCGCTCTGAGAGGTGGGGGGGGGGAGAGACAGGAGGACGAGAAGAACAGCACATTACAATGGTGTGTCTGCTTGATTAAGATTCTGTACCAAGAAAAATGGAATTCTGCGGCTGGCATAAATTATGCAGATTTGCCTGTTAAGCTCTTATTTTGCACAAATCGGCGCAGAATTGTGCTCTGCGCGTGGTTAGCTCAATATGGAAAGAAGAAGAAGAGGAGGAGGAGGAGGAGGAGGAGGAGGAGGAGAGTGGATTTATAACCTGCCCTTCACTAAATGAAGGAGTCTCAGAGTGGTTTACAGTCTCCTTCCCTTCCTCTCCCCACAGCAGACACCCTGTGAGGTAGGTGGGGCTGAGAGAGCTCCCTTGAGAACTGCCCTTGACAGAACAGCTCTCAGAGAACCTGTGACTGACCCAAGGTCACACTGGCAGCTTCATGCGGAGGACTGGGGAATCAAACCCGGTTCTCCCAGATTAGAGTCCGCCCTCCTAACCAATACACCAGTCTCGCTCTTAACCACTACACCAAAGGAACTGTGCTATTTACATAGCGCCATCCTCCTAAACAGGTCTGCTTGGAATCCTGTTCGGTTCTATTCAGTGGGCCTGAGGCGTATACGTCTTGCTTTCTTTTACTTTAAAACGCAGTCAAGGAGACAACACCAGGCTTCTTAATGCAAGGTTTTATTCCTCAGTCCTTTTACAGCCCCCGCCCTACTTTCTCCTCCTTTCTTCCTCATCCTCTGACTTCTTCCTTTCAGTATCGAAGGATCTAGTCTGCCCAGAAACAGACTACGGTCTCCTAATGGGGCAAACGTCTAAACATCAACATGAAATATGGTTGCCAACCTCCAGGTGGTGCCTGGAGCCTTCCTGGGATTACAACTGTTCTCCAGGCTTCACAGATCAGTTGCCCTGGAGAAAATGGACGCATTGGAGAGCGGGCCCTGCTGATATCCCTCCCCACCCTCAATCTCCAGGAATTTCCCAACCTGGAGTTGGCAACACTAGGCTACGGCCACTAAAACATAACGTACATCTGTCCCTGTAGGAGTCACGTCAGCTGATAACAGAAATCAAATAATTATATAAAGAACACTCAAATCAACAATCGCTCAGTTAAAAAAGAGAAAGTAGCAGGTGCTATTGTATATGTATTATTTATTTGCGTTCTTTATAGTTGCCTTTCTCACTTGGACTCAAGGCGGATTACACAGAGTGTGCCAGTACAATCAACAGGATGGGACCTTCGGTGTACAATGCAATGGGACTTCGGGGTGTAGAACCAAGCAGAAGTCTAAAAACAGAACTGAAGCAATGCATAAGTGTTAACATGACAAGCTAAATGATGCAGAAATGACATAGTAGGATCCTAGTAGCAAGTCAACCGCTTGCAAAACGGTGGGAGAAGAGAGGAATTGGCCATCCATTTTAAAACATACTTTAATTTCCTTTTTAAATTTGTATTTTGTGTTTTTATTCTGTGCTCTGCCTTGGGAGTTCAATTTGACTAGCAAGAGGACATCAAAATTCAATAATTCAGTTCACTGAAGCTGCCTGGCCTCTGTGCCGGTTGTTCATACTGTTAAAGGAACCACTGGATATATGAAGTTGCCTCATACCAGACGATTGGTCCACCTAGTTTTGTCCTGTCTCCCCAAAGCCTCAGCCCAAGAGTCTCTGCTGCTGTGCAAGATCCTTGAATGTGCAGCTGCCGCAACTGAAGCCAGGACCTTCTGCATGCAAAGCAGATGCTCTGACCACTAATCTGCAGCCCCTTGTCTTTATAGCCGTTAAGGCAGAGTTGCTTTATCCACTTGCACAGAAGAAATGCACCCCACCTGTAGCTTCACGGCCAATGAAAAGCTGCAGGTTGAAAGATCAGTGGTGAGGCATCAGCGGCCCTTTAAGAACTTGGCCACTCTTAAACGTTTCAAAGTTGCCAGCTCCCCCCCAATTAGAACCACCATGAGTCATTTTTTCTGACCCGCTTTCATTGCAAGTCAGCATTTACTGCCCATTCCTTTTTCCACTACATCATATTTGCCAGACTACGAGTCGGAGTAGAGCAGTAAAATAACGAACAATAAAACCGCGCAGGAATGGCCACGTTTATTGTGCCGAACCCAAAACGGTGCTCTTTAAGGTACCCGGGACAAGGCAACCGTCTGTTTTATTTGACACACTCATATGTTTTGTCACCTGCTCAACAGAAGCACATTTTCACACTGTATAAATGAGGTTACGTTCTCATAAGACACAGCTAATCATGGGGAGCCATTCCAGAGTCTGGAAGTGACATTGGCAGACAGGAGAATCCAGGCTAGCCATCTGTCCCCCCCCCCCATGACAGCCACATGCCCCCCCCTCAGAGGTCACAAGCAGGGCATCATGAAGATTCTAATTCTTCCATAATCCACCCAATCCAGATGCAGAATATGAAAATCTCCCCACTAAGATTTACCCAGGAACATAACTTGCACGGCAGATTAAAAGCCGGGAGACACAGGCTGGAACCCCCCGCTCTGCTCTGGATCCTCAACTGGGCGAATTTTGGGCCCGTCACACAGTCTTATCCTAGCCTACCTCACAGGGCTGTTGTGAGGATAGAATGGAGGAGGAGAGAATGTTGTAAGCTGTTTTGGATCTCCACTGCCCTGACATCCGTGCCTTGTCTGATCTACTAAAGTTCCTCAGGGCATGTAAGGCAGAGATGTTCCACCAGACCTTTGGTTGAGGCCAGTGACTGTTTCCTACATCTGCCCGGTACCCTTCCTCCCTCTTTTCCTCCCCAAAAATCTGAATGCTAGATATGCCACCTGTTCTTGGAATGTTTTAAATATGTATGCTGATCGTTTAATATTGTATGCTGTGGTTTTAAATTGGTTTTATAATTTGTATCGAATTATCCTGTTGTAAACCGCCGTGAGCCCTGTGTAAGTGGGGAAGGGCGGTCAAGAAACCCAACAAAATGAATGAATGAATGAATAAATAAAAGGTGGGGCATAAATGAAGGAAATAAATAAATGCCTCCCAATAACCTTACCCAGATCCAGAAGGGATCCAGGGGCCGTTCCAGGACTCCTTTTGGTTTTCTCATCCTCTTCAGTGCAAAGTACAAAAATGTGCTTCTTCAAAAGAACTTCATAGGTAGGATCCAACATGAGATTGTACTGAATATATGATGAATTCTAATTCAGCTGTGTCCCTCCCCCAGGATTTATACAAGGATCTTGGATTCCTGACTCATTACAGGCGTGAACCGGTTCCAGTATTCTACCCCTGACGGATGTTAAGGCGAGCACCTCACTCTCTGCCCTTCAAGGACTAGGCCTACTCCTTCAATGAATGTGTATTTGTTTAATTGATTCATGTCTACTCAGGGCATTTTTATTTATTTATTTATTTTTAAAATGAGGTGCCGGAACTCTCAAGAGGGAAATGAAGTTTTCAGTCTGCACACTGAAAGCTCATGAACTTTTAAACATTTTTAAAAGGATTTTGTTGAAGAGGTTCCGGAACTCCATTCCAGCACATTCCCCCAGGGGAGAAAAAAAAAAGGCCCGTGTCTACTTTTATTCCTATCCACATTCCCATTTTATCCCATGGGATAAAATGTAACAAAATAAATGAAAATGCACCATGGAATCCTGGCAGAAGCGCAATGGCGCAATGGCGGACAATTTGGTCTGCCAGTATGTTTAAAACTAGAGATATGAATTTGAAATTACGACACTACAAATTATTCGCAAGGTGGTACCTTACCCCTGACAAGTTGTTCCATTGTAAATACAAAACTACTCCCTTGTGTTGGAAAGGTTGCGGTAATAAAGGCACATTAGTACACTGCTGGTGGGATTGTCCCCGAATTAAAAAGTTTTGGACTACGGTCATTGCTGAAATAAAGAATAAAACTAATTATGAGATTCGAAATACACCTGCATCTCTTTTGTTACATTTTTGGCCAGGTCTGAAGCTGTCTAAACAGAACGAAGAATTAATTTCTACTATGCTAATGGCTGCAAAAAACTTAATCGCTTTAAATTGGAAATTGTTTAAGGTACCAAATCTATCACAATGGAGATCTAAACTGTGGGACTTGATAGTTTCAGATAAAATCGTTATGCAATTAATAGCTTTTGACAATCCGAAAGGTGTTAAAATTTTTTGGAAAAATGGTTTGTATTTTTTGAATATCTTACTGCTTGTCAACCCCGATTATATGCACTACCTCAGAAATATAGAGACTTTGTGTTTTATTAACAAGTATTGTGCGTATGGATAACATTTCTCTTCTTGTTTATTAGATGTTGTTGAAAGATACTGTATACAACTAACAAGTAATACAGGATGTAAAAATATATAAAACTCAATAAAAATGCTATTTTAAAAAATGAAAATGCACAGTAGCCTCATTTTTAGGCACTGTTGAAAAGATAAAGAAGGCAGGGTGGGGTTAATAATGCACTAAATCAGTGCATCTATCGGGCATAATGATGCGCACAATGCATACAAACTAAGCACTGTATGAAAACTTGAAGGAGGCAAGCTCAGAGCTCACCATCTAACAGAAAAATATAGAAAGGGGGGGAGGGAGGAAGGAAGGAAATACTGGATGCCAACAGGTCTTAGCCTGCAAATAAAATTTTAAAATATACTTTTTAGGGAGTTTAATCATAGAAAAAGGAGAGAAGTGGATCTATCTATACTGTAGTATACACGCTGTTCGGCAGCATTCTAAGCACCAAACCACTAGGTGGCAGTGTGGGTACTGTGCCTGAGTACCATGCATCTTTTCAGAGATATGAAAGGTGTAGGTAGATGTTCCTTTACTAAAGTTGCCAATTCGTGGGTGGGAAATTCCTGAGGGGTGGAGGCTGGGGGGGATGTTTGGGGAGGGGAGGGACCTTGGTGGGGTCTAATGGCATAGAGAGCACCCTTCAAAGCAGCCATTTTCTCCAGGGGGACTGATCTCTTGTCAGCTGGAGATCACTTGGAATACTGG